AGGGTGAAACCAAGAGGGAGCGAAGTCTCAATGCGGGGGGGGGGGGGGGGGGGGGGGGGGGGGGGGCGGGAAAGGCGCACACGACGCCCCGCGGAGGGGGGCTGGCTAAAACAACACACCCGGAAAAGTCATGCGCGTCAGCACAACAGCCACTCATGGGACTGGGCCGGCAGACCGGCCATGCCACATGCGGCGCCCGGATGTGGGCGGCGGCCCCTGCACCTGGTGGAAGGCCCATGCTGGCCGGGGGGAAAGATGACATGGCACACACGTTGGACCCTCAAGCGGCTACTTCCTGGCACTCTGGCTTGGTGGCAGGACAAAAAGTTCGGGCTCTGGCTAGATGAAAACGTCCCGCCCCACCGCGGCCAGTTGGACACTTCGCGGTCCCCCGGCCGCCTGCAGCAGGGCCCCCCCCCGGGGCTGCCCGCGTGATCCAAGGCCCTCCAGTGCCAACGTCGAGGTGGCAGTTGCGATCATTGGCATCTCCCACGCCGCCGCGCACAGGGCTATGTGCCGCCCGTCCGAGCGGCTCTCCCCCCCGCCGAGGGGGCCCCGGCAACAGCTCCCGCGCAGTCCCCTCCCCCCCGCTCCCCGATGCCTCCCTCCAGCCCCACCGACTTGGCTTCGGCCCGCGACATGCCATCCCCTCCCTCCGCCGACGATGCGGCCACCTCCCCTTCGCCCGGCCCCGACACCAGGCTGGCCACCATAACCCTGCCGGATTTGTTCGAGGCGCTGATCGACCCCGGCGGCACCGACGACGACGACGACGACGGCGGCGGCCTAGGGCCCGGCCACGACGCGACCCGCCCGACCGCGCCCCGGCCCGGCAGCGCGCGGCTGCTCCGGGGCCTGGGCCACCCGGACCACACCTTTGTGGTGGTCCTCGGCCCTGGGGTCCCGGCATCCGCCCGGCTCTTCCACAGCGCCGCCGAGTCGCTGGTCTACTCCGGGCGCCGGCCGAACAACGGCGTCTCCGCTCGCGGACGCCTGATCGACGATCTGATAGACGTGTCGTCGCTGGATGTGCGTGCGTGGACCTTTTCCCCTTTTTTTCTCCCTCTCCCTTTCCGCGCCCTCGCTCTCGCCGCGTGCCCCCTTCCCGCCTCGCGGGGTGCTGTACTAACCACGCGACCATTGCGCTGGCTCTGTGTGTGTGTGTGTGTGTGTGTGCGTGCGTGTGTGTGTGTGTGTGTGTGTGTGTGTGTGTGTGTGTGTGTATGTGTGTTCCCCTCCCCCGGCCCGCCGGCCCGCCGGCCCGCCGGCCCGGACAGTGCCCCCAGCGATTGGGCAACCTGCTGCGCCTGACCGGGGCCCTGGCCCAGACAGTCGCGGCCGCGGCCGCGGCCGACAGCCAGCCATGCCAAACGCACCGCCTTCTGACCAGCCTCCAGGACGAGGGGGCCCTCGTGCACGTGTGCTCGCAGAACATCGACGGCCTCGAGGCCCTGGTCGGCTTGCCCCCGGGCCGGATCACCTACTTCAATGGGACGGTGGATTCCCTCCGGTGCGAGGCATGCAACGCCGCCTTCCCCACGCGGGACCACCTGGCGGACTTGCTGGTGGGCCGGGCGCCGGCCTGCCCGGCCTGCCCGTCCCACGGCTCGGACCCCGGGGCTGAGTGCGTACGCATCGGGACATATCCCGCCCGCGCGCTTTGCCCGCCCGTCGACCTGACCCCCCCCCCTTCTTTTTTTTTTCGCCGGCCGCCGGCCGCCCCCCTGGAAGGTCCACCGCCGGACGATCCCGGCTGCTGCCCGCTATCCAGCTGAACGACCGAAGCAAGGACCTCTCGGCCACGGTTGCCAAGCTGGTGGATGCCATCCTGGCCTCGTGCGTGACGGGCGCCCCGGCTGAGGGCGCCGCCGCCGCCCGCCCACACACACACGCGCGCGTCTCTGACCATCGCCCTCCCCCCCCCCGGTAGGAACCCCGATGTGCTCATCGTCGGCGGGGTAATATTCCGCAAGGCCCACAGCCGGCACCTCGTCCGGAATCTGTGCAAGGCCATGCGACAGCGCGGCCGGCTATGCGTGTTTATCGACCACAACAAGCTCCATGGCGAGTGGATAAAGCGCTTCGATTTCCACATCAAGACCGACACCGACGAGGCCATGCACATGATCCGGCTCGTGCGGGAGGCCTGCTCCGGGCGCATGGCGGCAGCCCAGCCGCCGGCCGGCCAGTCGGCCGCCCCGGGGCCCGAAGCTCGCCCCGCCGCCGGGACGCCACCCGCGCCAACACGCCGGACCCCGGACCCGGCCGAGGCCGATCCGCCGGCCGGCATGCTGGCCCATCCCGACAACGCGCACCGGCACTACGCCGCCAATGCCCTCGGATGCGCGTCCGATGACGACCCCGGAGGAACGCCACCCACATCAGCACGCCGGATCCCGGACCCGGCCGGGGTCGGC